GACACATCTTAAAAAACGTGATTTTCGAATTACCATGAATGAATTATAAAATAAACATTACTCTATCAATCATTAAAGGTAGAAATTTCGTAGAAATTCATAAAAATCGTCAAAATCATCACAACTCAAAAAAGATCTTTTAAGAGTTGTGGAACGAAAATAAAAATGGCATTTGAGCAGATTAAGAATGTATATTTTTTACCGATATTATTTGATTAACAATAATTTTCTGTCAACTTGAAAAATAGTTTTTCACTTTAACTTAATTTTTTGAGTTGAATCATTTTTTAAGCAAAGTAGTGATATGATAAATTTAAAACTAATATATCTTGTTTAAATCTGATACTGCATAGAACTTGATTTGTAGTAAAAATTTGATTTGTTAACGACTTTAAATTGCTTCATACGTCCTGTAAAAGTTCAGACACGCGAGTGTCAAGAGTTATTCTTTCTTATGCAAATTTCTTAAAGTCCTTTCTTTCTTTCTTTATTCTAAAAAAACGACCTAGACTTTTAGTCGTAAGATTATGTTGTAAGATAAGAGTTATATAGTTCTGGAAGCATAACTCCATTACTCTTTCCAAAAATAATAGATTAATGTCTAATGACAAGGTTGGCCAGTCAGCAATTTCTCATAGTGTCGCGAATACAAAAACGTTAAGATTCCTTTTTCTATTATCTCCCTTACTTCTATTACTAACCTAGCCTATCTTTTAAGAGAATTGATTGATTCTATTTGCTATCATTTCAATTTATAAATTTCATTTTAATAATTATATATAATGTATTATATTAAGGAAAAAATTATCTCCTATCTTCATTACATTTTACAGCAAATACATTATTACATACCATATTTTTTTAATTATATGACTCTTTAATACAGTAGTATGAGCATAATATGTAGCACGTTATTTAATTAAAATTTATGCTTAATGAAAGTGGTAACTTTTTTATTCTCAGTGTAACAAGTTAGATCATTTTTTCATTATGAAAATTTATACAAAAGTCTATATTATTACTTGCTGATCATTAATAGAAATCATATAAATATTTTTTATTCAATTTTCAATGGATATTCATTATTATATTTTAATATAATTGTAAGATAATTATTATGTATTATATTTATCATACACATATATATATACTTACAAAAAAGTTACAATAAAAGAATTTTTTTGCGAGTGAATATATGTATATTCAAGAAAAATATATGTATATGCAAGAAAAATAAATTTTTTAATTTCTGTATAAGATAATTTTTTTACAATTTCACGTAAAGTTTTTATGGAGACGAAAACACTTCATAAATTTTATGATAAAAAATGAGAGAAAAAGTGAAAACGTAGAACATTCTTACGTTAGATTACATAATTAGTGGATCAAAGTGATTACTACTAGGTTGAATTTCTTAGGATTGGTGTGAGTATTGAAGCGCACGACACGTGACTGGAGACTTGCCGCAGATATTAATTAAAATTCGAGCGGGCACTCGACCCGTAATGAAGAGATCTCCCGCTCTTTAATCACCTCCGCGTCGCATGAAAACCACCCGACAACGCTCGTATGTGTGTATACGTGTGTATAACACGCGTATAAGCACGCTTTTGTGCCGCTCTGTAAGTTACTTCTCTTTTAGGCTCTCGCGGCGCAAGCGAGTCCGTTCCAATTACACGTCGTGGTTAAAGTTTCCGCAAATAATACAGCGGAAGTTGCTGATCTCCTAGCTTCTTATCCCCTACGGTGTTCCGCCGCGTTTGTGAGAGTCTGCAAAAAATAGTCTTTTTCGCGACGCGGTTAGTTCGTCGAACTCATTAGAACGACATGACATAGCCATCATTCGACGATTGATGCCTTCAATTATCGCGGAATTAATAGTTTGACAGATGACAAGACAAAAAAAAAACACATTCGGCGGAGTCGATGTGAATGACAAAGCAATTCTTTCTCCGTTTAATTCTACGCTATTCGTGGAATAATATTAGAGTTATCTTAGGAAAACTGTGTAGGATCGATGAAACGGATATATCACGATAATGTTAACAATAAAAAATAATGATCATTTAATATGGACATAATTATTACACGGAAAGAACGATTTTACTGAAATATTTCAAAATTAAGATAAATGTAGATTTGAAAATCATTCTGTCAAACCATCAAAATAATTACGTAGGAAACTTAAGCATAATGAGCAATGCTGCAAAAAGTTTTGAGTATTCTAGCAAACAGTTTGAGTATCCTACATAATTATTTTAATGGTCCAACAAATTTAGGTATTTTCAAATTTGTAACTATCTAAATATTTTTAGATATTTCAGCAAAACCATCCTTTTCCTGTACAAGCCGGTAATTAAACAAAGAATACGTGCACATTAATTAGAAAAATTTATATATTAAGTCTATAATAGAACTGCCTTAAAAATCTAAACATATTACTTAAAAGTTGCTGATTCAAGTATATCAATATCGATGTCACGCTTGAGCGACGGTCTGAGACTTTTGATTTTAAAGATCTCTCGTCCAGACGGTCCATTTCGTACAACGCAATTGCAGATGACATAAGTAGAAAGGTTCAGTAGCGAGTTCGGAGAGAATGTGGTCTCTCCACAGTTGGAAACCACATACGCGTGTCACCGCACAGCCGCCAGAATCCGTAGATAGTAAAGTTGATGGCAGCAGACCAAAGAGAATTTTCTAGCAACGTATACTTTGGTTAGTCGGCAAGTGAGAGTCACTTCGATTCAGCCTTAAAAGGCTCATCACACGCACACATATGAATGTTGATATCTATCCCATCCAAAATACATTCCTTTGTAAAAAAGGAATTTATAAAATGACTCATTAAATAAGTGATAATCGGGCACAAATAAATGCAGTTTGAAAGTTCTTCTTTTCTCTTTTTCTTCTTCTCATATCGCTTTCTTTCACACACACACACACACACACACACACACACACATACATTTATTCTCTTTTTTCCTTTTTAATTTGGTACAATATACATATAATTTCTTGATTCTCACCACTTCTCTCACCACTTCTATTCCCTTTTATTTAATATTTTATTAGACTTTTTTTGCTGTATTATTTTTTATATTAATAAATTTATTTCCGGAATATAATGTACTGGGTTGGAATAAAAGTATAACCCAGTAACCCTACTTCATTTTAACTATGTTTAAGTTTTTAAAAAATTTAACAATTATACCATTATTTGAAAGAGCAAAGTTTCAGAGAGTTTTAGGAATCTGTTTTTTGAATTGATATGATGATTTTTAATGAAGACATGAGCAATCAAAGTCCAAATGCTCCTTTATTTAGTCCTACACAATAACTCAGTAACAAAAAATCTTAAAAACATTAAAAAAAAACCGATTTTGTATGGAAAACTTTAAACTTTCACGTTAGAAAGTCGAAAATTTTTGTAAGTCTCTTGGGTACGTGACAGGCTCACAAAGAAAAAAAATTTCCATTTTATCTAGCTCTAATTTTCCATATACTTATAAAAATTACCAAACTCACAGAAACTCAAAAGACATAGTGATATTCCAGAAGTATATTTTAACCTTTAAAACTCTTTTTTAAATTTAAATTTTGTTCAATTTTAACGAAGTTACAGCTGCTTGAATTTTGAAGTTTGTAGCGTTATAAACTTTTGTCCCGACCCAATAATTTTTTCTCTTCTTTTTATACTCCTTCTCTTTCATTTGCACATAGTTCAGTGAATGCAATATACGATATACATTATTAGTAAAATTGGATTTGAAGTAATATTACTATGAAAATAGCTCAAAGTATGTAGGCACTTTGTAGAGTTTTAACTTCTTCTTATTTTGCTTCTTTCTTTTGGCAGATATTTCTAGCACTTGGATGTTTAAAATGCAACATTTGTGTAAGATAAGTGTATAAACTTAAAACATTCCAACAAAATGTATAATCATAAACAAAGCAATGCATATTCGAAAATAATAAGTTGAAAGATTTTCGCACATCTAATTTGACACTAGTAGACTATGTAGAATAATATACTGATATCGTATATAAACTCGTTTTTGCAACATACCAGTCACGAATTCGTGTTCTACACGTGACGCTCTTACGCAAATGTGAGCCTCACGCATGAAGTAACACCACGCAAGATGGAGAAATGCGATCGCGAGCGTCGGGACAGATGGGTGGGAGCTCGATCTCCATATAAGTATCTCGAAATCCTCTCGTAGATTCGATCATCGCACACGCGAAGGACGCACCTCCGCCACGTTTTCCCAGACGGTGGTTGGAGACTGGCGTTGGTGCGGGATACCGCGGTACGTATAGAGACTTGAAAAATTGCATTTTGTATTCAATAACTAAGCTGTCACGCCGACTGGTGAGCTTCTATAACTCAAAGCGCATCCACGCAGCCCACGCTTACACCACCGCCCCTAGATCGATCGATCCCCTTTCGCGAAGTAAAGCAACATCGGGAATATACGGATAGTATATACTCTCTCTAGCGCACTCGTGGAAACTCACTGACGTTGTGATTTCAAAAAATTCTGCCGTCGAACTTTGTATCGGATTTTGTCGATCGAGTTTGCCTGCTTTCCAAAACCCGACGATGTCTGACAGATCCCGAAACTGTCTCATATTTGTCAGGTAAATTTAGTGCAAGATTTTGTCGTATTGTGGCATTACATACGGATGTCCCGTTTCAACCATATTAAAATTTAATTAAAACTTCATGTGGTATAATGGTCTATCTCTACAAACAATATGCTGTAAAGCATTACCGCGGGTATGAAATATGATTCGAGCATTTACGTATATAATTTTGTTTTTATTACTTGTGAGGTAATTAAATGAATATAGAGTCTAATTAAATATTGTATGTTAATTTAGAAACTTTCTCGTAATTTTAACAGGTAATATATTTTAGATTTCAATTACACATTAAAGAAAATTATGTTTTATGTATATTAATGTATGTTTCAACGTTGATTATCTTTTTACAGTTACCACCATCCCTGATCCCGAATTTGTTGACGAAATAGGAAACATCACAGTACCAGCAGGACGGAATGTCAAACTGGCATGCAGTGTGAAAGATCTTGGATCATTCAAGGTACGTACAAGAATGAATAACATATTATTATGTTTTGTTATACTATAATTCGTTGTTCATTTATATGTAACGAATTTTTGTTTTTATTAATTTAACTACATTCGTGGATTTTGTAATATTAACAGGAACAATACAAATATTATGCACTTGCCAAACAACTAATACGAGTTAATAAATCAATAATCTACGCGTATACCAGTCTACATTAATATCGAAGATTAAAAATTTAATCAATTTTATTAAAACAAGCGAGCAGTACAGTTTTAAGATAAATATTAAACATCAATATTTTGTTCAGTCGACTTTTAATTAAAATTTTAAAGACCGGCGTATCTTTTTACTTTCCGTTTCATAATTTTCTAAATTCAATCTCCGTTGAAAAACCGAGTTAACACAGAATTATGAGTACGTGATATCTCGTTAGATCACGTGGCTCGATGATACTGAGATACTTTGATAAATGTCATTCATCAATAAAGGACCTCATTAAATTCGAAGCGCGGGATGCTAGAGAAAAATCGAGGGCGAAGAGGAATCATCTTCGAGGATCTTGAATAATTTTCTCATCTGGCGCACTCATCTCACTCAGCTGCTATCGTACGCGGAATAAATTAATGGCACCATGAATGTATATACTGAGTATTACATTTAATATATTTTCTGCTTTTAAAGCAGCGAATAGTTTGAATTGATAATCATTACTAATTATTAAACTGATAATGGTTATTTGAATGGAATTAGTTGTGAATAACATTAAAAATTTAATTTCTGGAAATCAAAATTTCAAGTAATTTGATAATCTACTTGATATTATTTTTTCCCGCTATTTTTCCCCACTACGATTAATTAAAATTATATCATCGTTAACGGATATGATAATATTAGACACTTTTAATCAAAAAATCTGACTATCTAAATTATTTGATATCAGCTATATTCTTCACCACGATTAATTAAAACTGCATCATTAATAAATGCGATAATTATTTTTAACATGGATATATTTTATCTTTTATCATCATGAAAAAAACAAGTTTTCTTATACTCATTTATAACGTTTTTTGCATTTTTTAAAGATTTTAAGGTAATATAAAAGATGTATAAGTAAATAAAGAAGAACGTCAAAGTATATTTTGGCAATCAAGTTATTAAAATATCCTTCATATTCGCGAATGAACTAGAAACATACACTTGCAACGCTACAGTAGCCAGAACGAGCAACGGAAGTCGGAAGTTCGACGTAGCTACCTGGAATTTTACATCCGGAAAGAGAAGTAAGATTGAATTGGCACTTTCTGGATCCGCGCCAGCTCGTCTCACACTATATGTCGCACCACTCGAATAGTCGTCATCTCGTTTCCCCAAGTCTCAAATTGAAGAATTCGATCGTACTAGCAAGACGTTCTTTCGGTGTGTTTAAGATGCGTCTCGTTTTCTTTTTATTCATACTATTTTAAAAGTATTTATCTCATCGTGATAAATTTAGTATAACTATATATATTAACACAGAATATTTTAATTTTATTTCCTCGACCTGTTATCATACCAGTTATTATACCAGTTAAAAATAAGACACATAACTTTCTCTCTCTCTCTCTCTCTCTTCGTTTTTCAAAATTAAAACTATTGTTCAAACAAAATTTATATATCTCATGTTAACTTTGATTAAGTTTTGCATATTTTTTTATTACTTCGTAAGTTAAAACTATTAACTTTTTCACTCAATTCTAATATAATATCTAAAATGCCCCGTGTGCTAAAAAGCTAAAATTTTCTTCAATTTATCAATTTTAGTAATGATATAATTTATTAAAGTTTATATCCAGAGCAAAGAAATTATTTTTGTTATAACATATGTATTATTAATTGTATGTATTGTAAAAATATTTTTGAAGATTCAGTATTCTATAACTTATGTGAAGATTTCCGTATTGAAACATGTCGAAGATCGAACCGGACAATACTTTGTCGTGCGCTTGTACGGAGTGATTTTATATTGTGGTCTGAGTACGTGCAACGGTTTACCTCTCACTACTACCACGAGCCTTATACTGCCCCTTAGTGCCCTTTAGTGTCCCATGGAAAAGGCCATCGGGGATCGCAATCGCTAAACACGCGCTTAAACCAACCCTCGTGTCTGTTCACCGAGATCAGCGTTATATTATCCTATGATCGTTCTATCTACTGTTTATCGTATGCAAGTTCATACGTGTATCGAACAAAAAGTAATTGTTATGGAAAGTTACATCGATCAGTTATCACTGGTGATCGCATTTCTTGTGATTTCCAGATTAATTGTAAAAGCACAGACCATAATTTTACGTGTAACACAAATCGAAAGAGCAATCGATCGCAGATGCTACTAATATAAGAGGGATACTTACAATATATAGTATACAAGAGAGAGGAATTTAATTTTACATTAATTTTGCAAATTTTTCGAGAAACAAAATAAAAGTCCTAATTTCAATCTAAATTGAAATGAGCGTATAAATTACAAAGATCTTTTTTTTATCTCCGGACACCGGAACGGAACAAGGCGGGATATTTTATATCGCTTTGAACTTCGTTTGATATAATTTTGCATTCATTGCCAGGGAATCCGAATTATTTCGCAATCTCTCTGAAGTTGCGCTTGACGTCGTTAACGGGTACATTTACGCGCGAAAAAATTTTATCGCGTTTAACGTATTTCTACATTTTTCTGGTCTTCTGGATCGCTCGTCGAGGTGAGCCTCCGCGTATTATCGAAGAAAAATTTACGATATTTAATCCTCATCGATGCTGCAATGAGATTTTCATACTTTCCTTTTACTCATCGGCATCGTAAAGATCAATCGTTCATTCTCACGACTCAAGACATACCGGCCAAGAAAAATAACCGTTTAGTCAAGATATTAAAATTCCAACTTTTTTTTACTGCGCATCGATACAATATGATACTTCACCGAGAAATTTTCTTTTGTTCCTTAAAGTATTCATCGCTGTACATCAGAAAAAGCAGATCCGTAATGTTATATAAAAATTTAATTTAACAGCTCCTGTTATTAATTTTCAACGCTTCTGAAAAAAATTACAGTTTGATAGAGACTATTACATTGAGATGCATTTCTTTAAAAGTTTTTTAAAAAAGTCTTTATTAATACTTCTATTATGTTAATATCTTAAGTTTTTATATATATACATATATATATTTCATGTAATTACAAATCTTATTTTAGTATGTTTCATGGAAGATAGTTTCATAAATTAATAATAACATTGGGATCGTTCAGCGATTTCGTTGATGTTTAATTACATGAATATTTAAAACAGTTTTATTAACAATTTATACAAGTCACAGTTTGTATTTCGCTGTTGTCGATTGTCAGTTTCCATGAAAACATAATACTGATTTAACTCGTATTCTACATTTTCGTATCGCAAGCAATCGGGCAAAAAGCTTACATTGCTTGTTATCACCCATATGAATGAAACACGGTCTGCGTATCTTAATAATATAACTGTACAAAGAATATCTGTTTTTCCCACACGTATCTCATCAGGATTCCAGCGACGGTTTATTTGAAATTTCGTCGACCAGTCGCGCGTATTGGTCATGCGCGTATACGACTGTCGGTTTTTTACGCTTCAATACAAGCAAATCACCGGAACCGCGTGCGCGCATTGCTCGCGAACGCCGCGAAAAAGGAAAAAAAAGAAAAAAAAGGAAGAAACGCATGATTCGATGCACAGCCAACGAAAATGTAAATTCACCAGCACCGTAGCCGGTGGCATGCATCCGGCCGGAAGTAAAAATTCTCTTCGGTGTTATTGTTCTTTGGTCGCCTGCCCGACGTACAAGCTCGTATCTTTTAAACGGAGAATTCCTCGATTTACCGATACTATTCTGCAATGCCGGTCGCGGCTTCTGAGTCTCCTGGTGAAACGTAAGGATATTGGCTTTGCCGATCGGTATTTCTACGGAAATCGTATGAGGAAGAGATGCCTGATAGGAAAACGTATTTCGATTCCTAACAGGAATACAGGCTATTTTTTTTCGTCCTCTGAGTCGTCGGAAATTCGAGCTGTAGACGAAAGTTACATATACATGCCAAACATATCTTTATGCATGGGCGTATGCAAGGGAAAACGGGAAGAGCGCTTGTCCCCACCTCCTAAATTTTGGAAAAGAGGAACAATTAAATTACGAAAATCATTTTTACGACAAAATATTCATTCACGCCAGTGCGTGGTTATTCACGTATTATTCGTTGAAAAACATTCGTTCAAAAATTGACTTTAATATAAGTATTTTAATATTTAATACTATTAAATCTATAGAGTGTCAAATTGAATTTAATGTGAGTCACCACTGCTCTTATCTGGAAATTATATGGAATTATTGAAATTATATCGTTATTTTATATTAAAATAATGGTTATATTTGACACTATACAGTGTTAATTTGACACTATATAATATTAAATTTAACTATCGTTTTAATATAAAATAATGATATATTTAGTAGGAGCAGTGGTGACTTAAATTAAGTTAAATTTGATACTATAGATTTAACAGTGTATTCTCTATTGAAGTGAAATCTCACTTCAAAAGAATTAAAATACTGCCACTATTGGAGAAGAGTGCAAATATTTGTACTCTTGAATAAGAATAACAGATTTTCACTGTTTTTGTTTTAGAGTGAAATTTCACACTTTTGGAATGAAATTCACTTAAAAAAAGGGGTGAGATTTCTTTCCTTTCGAGTGAATCCCACTCCAAAAAAGAGTGAAAATTTACCATTCTTATTCAAGAGTGCAAATATTTTCGTTCTTTTTCATTAGCAGTATTTTCACTCTTTTGAAGTGAGATTTCACTCCAAAAAATTTAAGTTTTGTGTAAAGATACTTTTTTGCGCCCCCCCCCCCGGAAATCCTAGATACCCATGTTTTTTTATGTATGCGTATTAAAAATATATTTTAAAATATATAATATTAGCAAGTCTACGGATTTTATTT